CTCTGACTACTCTATTATTAGAATCACATTTTTTAATTTCTAAATTAAAAAAATAATCTAAAGTCTTTGTCTAGCGATGGACTCTATTTCCTACATTCTATAAGCAATGAAGTCTAAGACTGCAATGACATGCAGTTCTCAAAGTGAATAAAACATTGGACTGAAGCGCAGCTTTTGGGTGTCCAGCCCAGCAACTAATGTATTTACCGTACTCCTAGCTCTGCCTCGTAATTACAAAGATTGGCAAACTCAGTGATTCAATGGTCATCCCTTAGGAGTTTTCCAGTGTGCATTGAGTAACACATAAAAGCAAGAGCATACAGTACAGTATGTCTCTTTTGTTTGCTGTGGGAGTAAGGAAAGGAACTGACTTTAATCTATCAGTCCTCAGAGTGATTCTTCCTCCTCCTCGCCTCTTGTATAAGGTTCTGCAGAAATCTGGTTTGATTCTTATTTATTGAGACCTTATTAAATTGCTGTCAGGGAAATTAAGAACCAGAACAAAAATTGTATTTACTGTAAGCTACCTTGATATACAGTATATACAGTATGAGCAGTAAAAAGTTGGTATGGATGGTGTACTTAGTTTTTGTTTTTCTCATTACTGGTTTCTTCATTTGTTCTACTCTCAAAAACCATTGAACCATCTATAACAATAAGATGAACTTATAGAACATTTTGGGATTTGACATTAATTTAATCAAATTAATTAAATTGTATTTAATTATACAATTAAAATGTATTTAGCTTATTTTAAAATTTGACAGGTTTCATAGGAACAGGACTACAGGCTGTAATCTTCTAGAGCATATAGATGCTCTATCTATAAGTGTACAACTGGAAGTCAGTGATGTTTTGCTAAGTAGGCAGTCAGGTTCTGTATCTGGTTCCAAGGACAGATTCCCGTCAATGTATCTGTCTTATTTCATGTGCAGTCCATACTTATGTTACCACTGATTTACATAATCAGTAATGGTGATCTTCACTACTTCACTATTTCTGTGCCTACAGAGTTTAATAAAACTCTGTATACCTGTACATCTGTATCAAGCTCTTTTCTCTGATTGTATGTTTAACCTTTTTTTCATGTTACCTAAAACCTTTATCCTGGTACCACCTTTCATATACAGGTACCTATAAAATATCACAATGATTTACATAAGGCAGATTATGCAAGGTTAATCAATTTTTAACAGCCAGTATATTTGCCAGGTAAACTCTATAGGCATGCTGGAGATTACGATCTGGTAAGAGAAGCATGCAAAATAGAAGTGGCAGAGTATTTGGATTCCAAAAACACAGCAAGAGACTTAAAAAAAGACTTACATATGAAGTCACTGCACTCAGATCAAACATGATCAGGACAAGGAGATGGTACTGTATGTCAATCAGGAAGCCTGTACTCGAGAGCTGTTTAGACTTAATGTATGCTCCTAAGAGAAAAAATTTGGAAATTAGCAACTGAAATGTGCTTTGCAAATGGACTGCTCACAATAAATTTGTAGACATTCTACCTTTAATAAGGAATGTTAAAAGATGCTGAAATCTGAATGCAGTTGTAAAGGATACTCTTGAAATGCGTTACAACATTTTTTTGTGAGTCTATACCTCTTTATTTTCTCATTCTCTTTCATGTGTTTTATTGTTTAGAACCATTTGTAAAAGGTTTGTTGTCTTTTGACTTCATTTCCTCTGTTTTACATTGTGACATTCTCAAGAAGGCTATTTTTTCAGGAATTTTTCTTGCAATACGTTTTGCAAAACTTAATAAACAGTCAGATTTTAAATTAAAATGACAGTAGATTACCAGTTTTAAAACAAAGTTCTGATTGCCACGTACAGTAGGCTTCAGGTTATATACAGTATTTGGCTGTTACTTGCTTGGTTGAGAGACGATGATGGTTGGAGGTCAATGATGTCACATCCCTCCTTACTGTATGAGGCAGGAGCCAGGGAGGCTGCTGCTGTGGTGATGATGGGGTGGAGAGAGGGGTACTAGAGTAGATGGTCACAGAGTCATGTTCAGCCAGGGACATTTTATGCATGGGGATGCGGAAGAGCTAGATTAGAACTTGACGTCCAACCAAACGTCTGTTCAAAAAATGTTTTATCTCTGTGTTTTTTAAACATAAGATCTATGGATTTAAGTTCTTAGAAATGTGTGTTCTAGCATGTTGTTTGTCTTTTAAATTGCTTCCCCACATTATCTGGAAGACATACAGTTTTTACAGTACATTAACTTTTACCATACAGTAAATTCATAAGTAGTCTGCTCTGTCTCAGTGATTCACTTTGTATCTATCGTTTACATTTTTGCTACCTGCATGCAAAACTGTACACTTGTCTACATTAAGTATCATCTGCCATGTGTTTGCCTCCTGCACGGTGTTTGACAATCCTCCTACTTTGGTATCATGTGTACACCTGACTAATTTACTTTGTGTACCAGAAACTAGATAATTGGTATACAGTAGCTAGTGAAATTGAAAAAGGACACAAATTAGGAGAAGGAGATATCTTAGTAATTTCAATCTTATTTTGTTCCTCTTGCTTTAAAAATCATTCTATCCATCATCACAAAACTGCTTGTTCATGGTGAGGGTATAGTGTACTTGTGTGTATAAGCTCTAGGCTTATAGTAACTTTTCAAGAACATGCAGTCACTGTAAATTATGATCACCAATATTAATTATCTCTTGTTACAGTATATCACAGTATTTAGGAGGTGGAACTGTCTTATGACTTCTAGTTCAGCCTTTAGTGCTATAGAAAAACTCTCCCAAGCGTAGTGATATTGCATGAGCTACTAATCATTCGTGTCCATAACATTATAGAAGTAAATAGGATAACTACTGTATATACTTGGCTGTTGTTCCTCTGAACCATGTATGATATGATAGAGATGCTTTGCTTTGGTGGACAAAGAAGACTAATCACTGAAATGGAAGAATATTTCACTGGAGGGCATTGAAAGTCACTATTATACTTACTAGAATTAACACAATAGATTGTAATACAGTAAATTTACTACTGTATACAACCACACATTTACAGTATGTAACCACAAAGGACAAAACCTTAAATTTAAGTGTTTTGATCATTGTAATCCTCACCTGAAAACCTTTTAAGTTACTTTTAGCAGGTTAGGATTGTCATAATTAAGAGCAAATTGTTTTTTTTAGAAACAAATGCCATTTTGTAAATTTGTTCAGAATAAAATTAATTTCTCTTGTTGCTTCACACAACACAAAACCATTGGACAATAATACAAGTGTATAGGAGTACAGCCTTGGAATATTAAGCAGTTTATGGAGAGAGCAATCCTATTGCCTTAAAAATAGAGAAGAAATACCTCAAGCTCTGGATAAACTGTAATTGCGCATAATTGACAAGTCAAAACTAAAAAAAATGTATATGTACTATGACATTTTCTTATTTTTAAACAATCTCTTAACGTATTAAATATAAATTAAAATGTTGATTTATCTGTACTTAATGATATTAGTACAAAGTGGAACCACTACTACAACTAGTGCCATGGCTAGTACTCATTTTAATAAATTAATAAATTAAATTAGATATTTTTAAAAACTATTTCATTTCTATCCAAGCACTCATTGCATTCCTTATCTCCTCTCTGTCCCTGACCTGAAAAAGCTCCTTAGCTAATTCCTCTCATTGTGGAGGGGCGCCAATATTAATAATTAAACAAAATTATCTATTTATGTTGTTTCTTATTAATAATCAATATATTTTTCATTGTGGATGAATGCACTTTTCTAATTTCAGTTTTCCAAAAGCACTGTTTTTTCCATTGGTTTTCAAAATGCTGATGAAATGTATTAACTGTGCATTGTTATTGTACATGTGATGAAGTTTAAAAATAGAGCCATATCTATTTAAAAAATATTTTAAAGTAAATATATCTAATCTAATGTAATCATATATTTGCACATACAGTTTATGTGCAGGAGTATCTGAATTAGCATGTCTTCGCCTTTAAGATTTGAATTGTACAGCACTAAAATTACAAAATTGCAATCAGGCTTATCAAGATATTAATGTCATGATTGTCATGTGTATTGCTCATGGAGTATTTATTTTTAAACTAACAGCGTATTTTACAGATGTGGCTGAAAAAACACAACTGATTCTCACCATTTTGTTTTATTTCCACACACTAATCCCTACTTAAGTTAATTTAAAAATCACTATGTAATGGCATTTTTATATAGGTTATACAGTAACTATTACTTTTGCTATAGCTAAAATTTGCTTTACTGGTATATTTTGTTGTAATTCAAACATTCATTTTCTTAAACTTCTCTGGGGGCTCTCAAGTATCAAAACTAGCTAAGGTACCATTCAGAGTACAGGCATACCTGGTTCCAGTGTGGACTACAGTATGTAATAAGCCCTCTGTAACTGGGATTCCTCAGAATTCCCCAGGTGGCTTACAGTTGACTGATCAGTGCTGGGGTGGAATGTCTTTGAGTTGGCCAGGGTGTGCTCATAATGCTACCTATCAATGACCACAGAGCCTTGTTTGGCAGCTATAAGTGTACAGTGTTATTGCTCAAAGCTACATCTATCCTCCCACTGACACCTTATCTTGGATATTGACACTGCAGAGTTTGTGATATAAACCAATGCAGATGGCATGACAGTGCAAGTTCTGAAGAATTTGCATTCCTCCCACACAGGTTTAAATCAGTGGTCAACAGAGATGATTGACAATTGGCAATTCTAAATCATGGTGAATGAAACAACAGAATAATTGCAGATTTTAATACTGCAACTGAAGGGTATAATATTTTCCAAGTACATGATCAAAAAAAAAATCAAAAAATGAAAATATAAGTTCACATAAAATGATCTTGAAATCTGTACATCATATGCTTCTCTTTGATATTTCAAATTATGTTGCTTCGTTATTACTGTTTCAACAAAGTGTTTAAATTGCACAATTATTTTCTTTGCCTTCTATTTTTGCCGGAAAGACATTGGTAAGTAATAGGTGTCTAATAGAAGGTTTTTGAGAAGATGTGCTTTTTTATTGTGGCATTTAATTGTTGCTTCAAAGTAAGAATGTGCTGTTTCGATATTGTGACTGATTCATAGCTCCTGTAGTTGTGGTTTTACATGTTTTTTAACATTACCTTGCGCATTCTAAAGACTTCCAGAAAGGTTACTTTGAGATTTATAAAGGTAAGATTTATAAATAGAATGCAATAAAAATGTTTCATCATTGTATAAATATCTTGTTAGGTCCTTGACCTTTGCAAAACAATGTCCACATTTCTACGATCAATTAAACCAATTACAGGTGTATTTACATATTTAATTATTCATGGGAATAAGATTTTAGAAAGAAATGGTACAGTGATGGCTTTTTCCTTTTCACATTTCCTACAGTACTTAGGTCAAGCCCTTTTTTTAGTGTTCAACCTTAAATACTTTATAAATAGAAAATCAATGAAAACATTTCCTGGAAAACATTATGTGAAGTACAAAGAATGTGTGGTGTTACATGGTACAATACATCATTTTGCTTTGGGACACACTGGGATTTTTCTCAAAACAATTAGATAAAATATTTAGATAAGAACGTCATATTTGTTAATTGAAAGGAGTCATATTGTTTGAAAATGTTATTATGTTCTTAATCATAATATATAGGCTGTATCTTTTCAAGTAATGCATATTTAGATACTTTAAAATATCTGTTTTCTTAGCATGTGAAAATTTGTTTTTTCGCATAATATAAATATTCTTATACAATATTAAGGGTTTTCATATTTTAAATAAGATAGAGTTTATCATACAGCTATTGAGATACTGTAAACTGTACCTTAATGGCTGACAATGATAAGCACAGCAATTATCGTGATGAAAGAGCATGTTATAAAACTAACAACAACCAAAAAGATCCAGGAAGAACGGGCATCTGTTGTGCCCAAAGTAATCCTAAATATATCAAACAAATCAAGTCTAAAAATATGTAAATACTGCTGCATTGCTATTTATCTCCTAACACCATACAGTATATGCTTGAACCAAGCAATAAAGGTTTACTTGTAAAAACATATTGTGTCAAAATACTTGTTTTTTAATGTTTTATTCTAAGTAAAAATTAAATGGTAGTGTTGTGCATTATTCGAGAATCTGTCTGCTTTTCATGTCTCAGTATCTGCAGCTCTTCTACTATACAGTATGTACTGTATGACTCACAGGAAAATGAGTAACTTGGGGGAAAATATATTTTCCACAGAGCAATAAAAACCTTGATTACAGCTCCACTAAGTGATGGGGAAGGGAATTGTACTGTATGACTGCTAGCCTAGGGCACCATCACAGCTGTAAGATATATATACACATCTTGAGAACCTCAAGGAACTCAGTGTCAGCAAGAAAACTAAGTTAACAAAAACTGTGCAGTACTTTCTCTTGCCTCATTCCCTTAAATTACAAGAGAAAACAGTTTTTTTTTTTCTGGAATGGAAAGTCTAACTGCATACGAGTTTGGAGTTAATAAACCACTGGGCTTTGTACTTAGGTCAGCATTACATACTGAGCATTTTATGCTTGAGACTTAATTTTGAGAAATATACTGTATGCCTAACAGATTTCACATACAGTATGCTGATTATATTTAAAAGAAAACTGAAAAATACATAATAATTTAAGGTTATGACCATTCATAGATATTACAGCAGGCTATGATGTGATACTTTATTATACAATATGATATGACACTATAAATGCAGTATACTGTACGTACTGTATGGTCAAGTGACTACAGAACTCTTTTCTGATGTTCAAACCCTAGATTAACCTCTAGTCGATTCATACAGTTAGAAAACCAGCAAGTATTTTTAAAAACCTATTTACTATAAAATAAAATTCTGCTTTGAAAAGTTCATATTTGAGTTAATAATTGTTTTAGTGATTTCTCTATTCAGGTTATCTTAAAGCTTTAATATTTGGATCATCAATCTTGCCATCGTTTTTGTGCTGTACAGTTACATTTAAAATTTATTTTAAAGAAAGATTTAGGAAATTTAAGGAAACAAGGACTATTAAAAAATCTTCTTTTTGTGTAATTTCTCTTGTTTTCACTAATTTTGCAACAGCTTGTGCATCCAAAAAATACTAAAAATAAACCTAGTGTGAAATTAAAGCTTATGAGACCTTAGTTTTGACAAATCCAAAGCCCTTGTGGTATTAGTGTTCAGTGCACCTGTCTTGGAAATTTAGACATTACACTGTTTTCTAGTGATTTGGAACCCATGCCCAGTTTTGGATTTGACAAACAATATTATTTATTACAGCTTAATTAGATTGTCAACTTTAAATACAACCTAAAGATGTTTCTAATCTTAATCATACTGACAAATTACTTATCTTTTCTCTAATAAACATCTTACTGTAATTGGAACATTGTTTTCTCTTGTTTCTTTCTTTTGGGGCGATTTTACAGGGGACTTTGAAAGTAGCCATAACCAGGCCCTGGAATAAATCAGTTTGTCGCTTCTCTTTCCAGATCTTCCACATGACATATGATCTCGCAAGTGCAGTGGTAAGAATATTTAATCTCATTGGAATGATGCTTCTTCTTTGCCACTGGGACGGTTGTCTCCAGTTTCTGGTGCCACTTCTCCAGGATTTCCCTCCAGATTGCTGGGTGTCGCTAAACGGTATGGTTGTAAGTATTGTAAATTTTTCATGGTGTTTGTTTATTTTTTTCCTTTACATTCTATGGTTGTATCCAAGTGTTGTGCATCCTTTGTACTGTATATATATATATGTAGTTTTCAATTTCCAGTGCCATGATTCTGCTGTTTCATATCACAAATGTAGATAGACAGAGAACAGATGCAGTAGTTTAATATGTCAAACTGGGACCTCATTTGCCACACACAAGTATTTCCATAAAATCAGGACACGTATACAGCAGTTGAACTCTTGTTAAAGTTTCATTTTTACTTCAAAACATAGCTGTAGATCACATTCAATTTTCTCACAAACTAAGAAAAGTGAATTTCACAAGCAATACAATATTTGGTCTTACAAGTCAGACTATAATCAAGAATGATAGTGGCATAGTGATTTGCTACTCAGTTAGTACTGTATGTCTGCCATGATTGACTTCATTTTGGCTGGTCCTTTGGTCCGAAATAAACATTCTTCATAATAGACAGTAAGTAGGGTACACGAATGTGGGATCAAGTTTAGTACCAAAAGCTCTTATGTAGTAAACACAATAATTAGTTATGAATGCTTTAACCTTCTTTCTAAGCTAAATAAGTCCAAAGGTGTGGGAGAGCTTCCCCAATAACTTATTTGGAATTTGTAGACAGTTGTTGTTTACAGTATAGGTTTAATCATTTTTTCTTATGGAGAGGATTTTGTGGACCAGATTTTGTGGATTTTGTGGACCAGAGTTGGGTGCCTCTGCCATATAGGTGTAATGAAATACAATTTCAATGGTGATACATAACAACAAAGTGTCTGATATATTCCAATTCCTCCTCCATGAAGTACACTAGCATCTCACCCAACAACCACAACCATGTACTGTATGTTTCTAGCTCATAGAGGACACCTGAGAATCAAACCCACTAGTGGAATATGATGGTGAAATTAATAGTGCTTTGATAGAACCAGCAGCTAGGCTGGTCACATGCACACCAGTAGACATCTCTATATGAACAACATCTAAAAAGATCCCTTGGTACCAGGGAAGGTAGTGTTAATGTCATGAGGAAGTCCCCAATACAAATCAATATTTTTTGTCTCCATTACTATCAGGCAGTGAAACTTCTGAGCCATAGTTATAGAAACATACTGTACACAGTACATACTGTAGTACTGCATAAAAAGTTGCATAGGTACTGATGGCTACATCTAGGACTACATTATTAGGCTCAACCACATTATACATTATAGTGTCACTATACTGTAAGTGTTGGACTAGGTTTCACAAAGAAGGTAGGCCAAAGTTATGCTGACTAGGATATTTTTATTACTACATTCCATCTTTTAATCCTCCTCAGACCTCATCTGTTTTCCAAGAAAAAAAAAGACCCATTCTCCAACATGTAGTGATAGGAATCTTAGTAAATTGGATTTTTTTTATGTTTATGCTCACTGTGTATTTTATTATCTTGTTAACTGTTAAGCCTGGAACTTGGAAGGTTATACAAAAGTTGGAACTGTTCATTCAAAAAACTAGAAAACAGAATAAGATACAGTATGCATTCTATAAGCAAAATACCAGTGAATTAGTCACGAATAACACCAAATTGTAGTAAACCAGTTCACTTATGAATTGACTGTATTTGATATACTGTACTATTGATCAATATGTAATACACAGTATTGTCCATTTTTTATTAAAGTTTGTCATCTGTCATCATAGTTAAATCAGGTGGGTAGCTGCGTCAGCATGCACAGGCTGCAAAGGAACAAGTAATAGGTTTATTCCATGCTGAAAAAAAGAAGAAAGAGAACACAACGTTTCGGCTGTGGAACCTTCTTCAGGTTCTTCTAGGTTTTGTTATCAGCAAAGCCTTTAAATGGCATTTCCTCTTGAGTGGCATTGCAACCAAACTTGCACAGGATAAACGTAAAAAAAAAAAAAATGCAGTTTTTAAAAAAATCAGCTTTTGTTCCCTCAAGATAAATATGGTACGATGGCATAGACAAAAAAAAACCACAATGCAGTATAGTGGTTTTAGTATTAATTGATTCTATAACTCAACATTTTATAACACTCTAAGGCTTTGAGCTGTTGGTTACTAGTAATCTGACATTTTTCTTCTGAAATACTGAATCTTCAGTATTAAGTAATAGTTTAATATTGCAAGCTTTAGGTTCAGCTGAGGATTATACTTAAAAAATCTGAAAGCTTTTCTAATGAAAGAGATTTGTTTTACAAAGAAAGCAAGATGCCCGTATTTTTGTGACAGTAAAAGGTTGATGCCCAATTTAATGTAATCTCTGTAGCAATTTCTTTCTTGGCTTTCTTGTATTTTATGAGATTAGAATTTTAAACTTCATGTTGGTTGATTGATTTAAAGGTTGGATGACCTTTATAAGGAAGCACATATTAGAGTATTCCAAAGGTACATTCGTTTTTTTTTTCTGGTTCAAGCATCTAAAACAGATTATTGTTTATCATCCGAGAACTCTTGATCTTAGTATGGCTTTTAGTAACATAAGAAAATATTAATTTAATGAGGGAGTTATATACTGTAATGACTGTTGTTACCATGTCACGGAGTCAAGCCTGCTAACAAATAAAGGAGTGACCCTGAGGTAACAGCTGCTTGTGATTCCATGTTCCTGGCAGGTGGAATCATTACAGTACTGTATATTACTTTCCTCTTGCCAGTACAATACCATATACACATTGGATCACTTGTTTGTCTTATGTAATTGCACTTGCAAAAACCTTCCAAAGCACCTATAGTACAGAAAAAAGAAATAGTAAAGACCATTACTAGTGTTTGCCCAAAAGGAGCAAGGCTGGGTTTAATGTTACTCTGCTTTCTGTTTTTTGAAATTTGTATAAGCACAAATAGCAAAACAGTTATTTTTGTTTATAGCTCTTCTAGATTTATAAAACAATGTTTACACAACAACAACATGCTTTCAGTTTTGAGGGATCAGTGGTTTCATTTTAGGTAGAACACAAGGTTTCCATATTCTTGCTAGTTTACAGCTCCTGTTCTATTTCATTATATTATTCTTTCTTCTGAAGAATTTGTTATACCAGAAAGGTGGATAGATAGACCTATACTGTAGATAATGATGACTGAGTGTATTACATACGTTACATGCTTAGTATATAATTCTGTGAAACACATCTTTAGTATCTGTTCTAAATTACTTTTCAGATTCCTGGGCTTCTTTTAGGGCCCTTGGAGTAATTGACCATTCAGTTTTTCAACATTCTCACAATGATTTGGTTCCACAGATTATAAATACTTTTACCTTTCCATCAACCCTGACAGTAATTTCATCTATCTGTGTTTTGTACCTGCTTTGAAGGTAAAATTAGAAATGGGTGAATCACAGCAGTAAAACGTTGATATCAGAAAACTCATCGTCTTGGGTGGTCTCTATTGCCCGAGAACTCAATTGTATGTCAGTTTTATTCTCATTAAGAGTGAAATGCAGCATCAGTCACACTTTGTTCTTAGAGTCCATTATTTACCCATAATGCTATAAATGTCTGAGATCTGTCTTAATTTGGCAGGGCTAGATATGTATTTGCCTTCGGGATGTTCAATAAGCACACAAAATAGGAGGTCACTGCAGCTCAATAAATGGAGCTTTTTTGTTATAAAGTTAGGTTTTGTAATACATTATAAAGAAAATGCTGTACTGTATACAGTACATAATTACACAAAATTAAGTAAAAATAATCGTCGTCCTTTCAATTTTATTCTCAATTGTTTATCTACTAAATATAGAAAAAACACTGTTCTTATTATTATACTGTACATGAACATTTCATTAAGAACCTTGTTTTTCAGTCACTTAGTGACATGAACTAAAATAGGTGCAGTACTAACAAACATCATTTGCAATTGATCTGTATTAATACAAAATAGTAAAAGTGGCTTTAATGTACAAAAAACTGTTCTATGATAAATTAACATAAGTGTCACAGAAACATAGACACGTACTGTATGTACAGTAGCAGTCCAGGTGATGAACCCTTGACAGGACACCAGTACCCACAGAGTGGACAGAGTGCACAGAAACAGGGTCAATTTAGATATTAAGATTTTTCAAATCTCACAGAAAATCCGAGAGAGAGAGAGCATGCAGACTCCACACAGAAGATATCCCATCCTTGAACAGAACCAGTGAGGCAGAAGCACTTACTGCCATAGCACCATGCTGCTGGTAAAACAAAAAGTAAAATATTTTTCATAACTTTTAGCAACTGTATTTTTGCAAACATATGCCTCAATAAGTTGTACAATAGTCTTAATAACATACATTAAAAACACATTGTTTTTAAAACACATTAAATACACATTGTTTATTTGGAAGTAATATAGAAAGTGAATTTCAGATGTGTACTATGACAGCACAAAAAGTCTCAATTTTAGTTGCACAATGAAGGCCAACAGAACTCAGGTACTTTACAGGAATTTAGTGATGGAATAAACCCTTTAGACAGGCAGGCACTATTTCCTTTAAAGCCTTAAATATTTGTACAGAATCTTCAAATTAGCTGTGCGCTCACAAAAACTAGACCTGTATGAAACCCAGCTGCAGAAGACTGTACAGTACATACAGTACAGTATTATAGCTTAGGAAGGACTGTAGTAGACACTTTATGATGAAATGAAAGCATGATCTACATCAGATATTATTTACAGTACATGGACTTCAAAAGGCACAGTTAAATTAAAAATAAATTTTAAAAGATTTCAACATATAACAGAGGAGTTAATACCCAACCCATTAATGGGTATTAATGACTAAACTACAGTAACAAAGCTATTTAAGCCATGCATGTGCAGTATGTCTCCATCAGGTTTTTTAAGCAATCTCAGAAAGTACAATTAACAATTACAGGATTTTTTGTGAATGTCTTTGAAAGCAGTGTGAATTTGTTATTCTTTCTACAAGGATGCTTAGTTTCACTTAAGCATCTTCCGTGTTGAGTCATTACTCTAAATA